AATTGAAGGAACCCTATAAGGCTTCGTACACTTAAAGGAACCCAATTGAAGGAACCCCCCCCCACCCCAAATATGCCGAAATCCCGCTTAGTAAGCCCTGCACCCCAAACCCGGAAGGATTGGGGATGCCAGAAAGGCCCTCCTTCCGCCCGTGGTTTAGGGTTTAGGGTTTAGGGTTTAAAGGCACAAAGTGTCCTCCACAAGACCCAGGCCTAAAACTGAAAGCGCCCGCAAAAGCTATACCACACCCGCAAGGTCAAAATAGACCATGAGTCTCAGCCCAAATACCCTAAACCCTCATACTAAACCCTCGATCCCTAAACCCTAAACCCTAAACCCCAAACCCTAAACCCTAAACCCTCCCAAGTCAGGGGGCTATCCTGCTGGTACTGCTCGCGTGCCCGGCGCTCCGAAGTCGCCTCCGCCAAGAGCCCCAAGGGCTTAGGGCCAATTAGGGTTTAGGGCTTAGGGTTTAGGGTTTGGGGTTGAGAGTTTAGGGTTTGGGGTTTGAGGTTGAGCGTCCCTTTCCCTCCTCACCCCCCCCCCCAGCCCCCCCCCACCCCGCCCCCCCCCCCCCCCCCCCCCCCCCACCCCCCCCGCCCCACCCCCCCCCCATCCCCCCACCCCCCCACCCAGACCCGAACCGCAAACCCAATCCACCAAACCCCAAACCTTAAACTTGTTCTCCTGCGGGGTCGGCGGGTTTGGGGTTGAGGGTTTGGGGTCCCACGTAGACCAGGGACCCCAAGAAGGTACCCCCAAAGATCGTAAACCCCAAAATGCAGTCCCTTAAACCCACTTGTAGCAATCTGAATACCCTAAACCCTAAACCCTAAACCCTAAACTCTAGACCCTAAACCCTAAACCCTACACCCTCAACCCTCAACCCTCAACCCTCAACCCTAAACCCTGCCCTAAACCCGAAACCCTAAAGCCTGAACCGTCCCCCGCTCCCTCGCGCTTCTTCACGGGAAGTGGTGACTTGGCGCACCAGGTCCGCCACATCCTTGCAGCCTGCACTCCGAGGCGAGAAAGGTGGCTTCGGACGTCTCTTGAAGGGCTTAGGGTTTTTAAGGGTTTAGGGTTTAGGGTTTGGGGTTTGGGGTTTGGGGTTTGGGGTTGGGGGTTTGGGGTTTGGGGTTTAGGGTTTGGGGTTTGGGGTTTAGGGTTTGGGGTTTAGGGTTTGGGGTTTGGGGCTTGGGGCTTGGGGGTTGGGGTAAAGGCGGCTTGAGGGGCTTGGGGTTGCGGACTTAGGAGAAAGTTGGGGCTGAAAGCTCTGAAGCCCCAAATGCTTCGCCTGGCGGTAAGCTCGACTTCGGCACCGCGTTTTGGAGCTTCTTGGACAACTCGTCCCGTTCTGCCTGGAGGATCTGCAACTTGTCCTGCAAATCCTGGACGGGTTAGGGTTTAGGGTTTAGGGGTTAGGATTTAGGGTTTAGGGCTTAGGGTCTAGGGTATGGTTTTGAGATGCAGCTCTTAAATCGGAAGGTACTAGGGGCCAGTTCTCCTTATGAGGACTTGTTCTGGGGACCGCTGCAATAAGAGTGGAAGTCCCAAGCTAAGGGTTCAGTTGGATTTCGGGTTTGGGCTACAGGGGCCACCGAAGGACGTGGGTTCGGATTTAGGGGCTCCTGCTTTGGGGAGCGAGTGTAGGGTTTTGGGGTTAAGGGCTTCAGGGAGTGTAGGATCTATATCCAGGTTTAAGCCCCAAACCCGAAGCTGCATGCAAAGCCTGAAACCAAGTAAAAATTGAGCGGACAGCGCTGAGTCTGAGGTGATAGCCGCAAGCCCTTGGGACTACCGGGAACGTCGAGTCTAGTAAACACTTCCAGCCGTTGCTCCCTAAGGCTCCCTAAGCTTCCCTAAGGTTCCCTAGGTAGCTACCCCCCATGAACCCCCCTCCCTTAAGAACCCTATAACAAACCCTCCTGCAAACCTTCAATTCTAATCCCTGAACCACGTAACAGAAGAACAGAACCCCCCCCCCCCGCTAGCACCATTTAAATCCCTCACGCGAAAAAAAAACCTGAAAGCCCTCAAAGCCCTAACCCCTGAACCCTAAACCCCTGAAAGCCTTCAAAGCCCTAAACCCTGAACCCTAAACCCCAAAACCTCTGGCTTCAGCTCTTAGTAGCCCAGTAACCCTATTCTAATAAGGGCACCCTTTCTTGGGTTAGCTACGTTTATAAGGGAACCTTGTATCCAACAAACAAAGGGTAAGAGGTGTGCCGATGGGCTACCAAGAGCTGTCGCGCCTCCACCTGCGACTTGGCCTTTGCCAAGGCTGACTCGCACAGGCACCGCGCCGACTCTGCCTCCCTGGCTTAGAGCGTTGAATGAAAAATTCGGGGTTACCCTAAACCCTAAACCCTAAACCCGAAACCCGAAACCCTAAACCCAAAAAAACCTAAACCCTAGGGTTTAGGGATTATGGCTTAGGGTTCAAGGCTCCCACTGTTCGGGTTTTGTTTAGGGTTTGCTAAACCCTAAACCCAAAACCCGAAACCCTGGGGCCTTAGGCTTGAGAGGCTTTACGGGTTTCGGGTTTGGAGCCCGAAGCCCTCTACCCTCAATGCATCAGCCCTTAGCCCCTGCCCCTCGAGTATGGGCTGAAGGGCTTTCACCAAACAAGCGAAGCAATCTGAGGCATGTTCCGAAGTACAGGATCCTAGAAAACCGTTTACATCTCATACAAACCTGTCCCACCTATTTTACCTTAGACGTTATTCCTCCACCCAGAGGTTTCCGAAGTCGCTTGGGGTCTTCTCGGCCCTAAGACTATTTGAGGGATTTGAGGCTGAGGTCCGTTTTGGGAGTGCTTGATCGGCTGCTAGTGCGTCAAAGCCGATTCGGCAAAGCAGTCTTCAGTACACCAACATGAAAACCGGAAACTGGTTTAGGGTTTAGGGTTTAGGGTTTAGGGTTTAGGGTTTAGGGTTTAGGGTTTAGGGTTTAGGGTTTAGGGTTTAGGCTAGGCGGTTAGCTGAAGTGCCGCGCTTCAGATGCGCACCTTCAAGTCGCTTTCTGCAAGCATGTCTCAGGAAGGATCAACCGCAACACATTGGGATGCTCCCCTTATACTTACAGTCCTTAATAGGGATTATCGTACCCCCCCCCTTATAATCCCTAGTAAGGAGCTGTTAGTATGAGGGGGAACATCTCAACCCTAAACCCTAAACCCTCCACCCTAAACACAGGAGTCCTTCAGTGGGATTATGTGATTATAGTACCCCTACCATGATAATCCCCAGTGAGGAGCTGTCAGTATGAGGGCGAACATCCCAAGCAACACTTGCAGACGAGTTGCTTGGATTTCGCGGCGGCGGCTTCAGCGTCTTTTAGCTGCGCCTTCAACGGGACAAGGCTTTACGGTTTAGGGTTTAGGGTTGCGGGTTTAAGGTTTAGGCCAGCTCCAAATTTGGGGGCTTTACGAAGATGGGGGACCCCAAGAAGGTACCCCCAAAGATCGTAAACCCCAAAATGCCTCACCAGTCCCTTAAACCCACTTGTAGCAATCTGAATTCCCTAAACCCTAAACCCGAAACCCTAAACCCTGAACCGTGCCTGTACCTTCGCCATTTCCTGGGCAGTGCTCTCAGACTTTTTCTTCTCCTCGCGAAGCGCGTCCTCGTGAGCTCCAACTTAGGTAAAGGTGGACTATGGGAGGGAGAACAACCCCAAAATGCCTAAAAAAAACCCAGAAGCCCTATCAGCCCTTTAAGCCACAAAATCCCCAACAGGCCTAAAAATCCCCCCAAAAGCCCCAAAGCCCGGTCCTCCAACTTGCCACGCTCGGTTGCGAATCGGCCCGTCAACTCAGCCAACCGCTGTTCAGAGGCCTTGGTGGTGCTCCGGGGGTTGAGGGTTTAGAGCTTATACTTGGAGGTTCATCGTACTTATTAACCAACTATAACTGTACTTATAGCTGTACTTCTAGCCATATTAGGGCACTTAAGGGGCTTATAAGTGGGCTATAAGTACACTTATATTTGGTGAATAGGGTGAATAGGTACCATGAACCTCCAAGTAGGGTTCAGGGGCTTAGGGGCGCTTGTTTGGGGGCTGTAGGGATGTTGAGGCTAACAGAAACCCTCACGGGTTTAGGGTTTAGGGTTTAGGGTTTAGGGTTTAGGGTTTAGGGTATAGGGTATAGGGTTTAGGGTTCAGGTTAACGCAGTCTTGCTGTGTAGAGGCAAGAGGGCTCTTGAAGGGCACTTAAACAGGGACCCCCAGCTGGGTTCTCCTACGACCCTAGGCCTCAAACCCTAAAACCCTAAACCCCAAACCCTAAACCCAAAACCCTGAACCAAAACCCTGAACCCTAAACCCTAAACCCTAAACCCTAAACCCTTAACCCGAGTGTGAGGCAAGCGGCTTCTTTCAGCTGCATCGCGCGCTGCTCGGCCTACAGGGCTACCAGGCTGCTGTCGGAAATCAAAGTGAGGATAGCTAACCTTCCAGCAAGGTCCCCCCCAAAAAATGTTCAAAGTAATAAGGATACCGAGAAGGTCCCACTTGGGTGGCAGAAGAGTTCATGATTGTAAGGCAGGTACCTCACCACAGACGCAAGCCAAAAAACAAACAAACGTCGTCCAAGTGTTCGCTTCTCCTACTCTCTTAAGGACAGTCTCAATCTGCTCTGAGTCTGATGGTCTTTTAAGGGGCCCCCCAACATAGACCCCCCAAATAGTAGGATTCTCTCCCCAATAACATGTCCCCAATTTCGGGGGGGGGGGGGGGGGGTTCCTGCCAGAAGACTCAACCTATTGCTTCTCAGCAGGGATTTCGGGAATGAAGCACCTCATATCCCCCTATATTCGTACTCTTGGAGGGATAGTACATCATAGTTACAGCACGTCAAATTTCCCCACTTCCGAACTAAGAGCAAGTACGTCAAGAATAAAAGACACGCTTTGCACACGCTGTTGGACCCTAAACGCTAAACCCTGAACCCGAAACCTTAAACCCGCGCAGGGGGGCCTCTCTGGCCAAGCGCGCGCCTTCCTTGTCTTGCTGCGCTTCTGTGCGGGACGCCTCTGGCCAACTGGGGAACTCCAACCCTAAACCCGAAAATAGTAGGGTTTAGGGTTTAGGGTTTAGGGTTTAGGGTTTAGGGTTCAGAGTTCGGGGTTCAGGGTTTAGGGTTTAGGGTTTAGGGTTTGGGGTTTAGGGTTTGGGGGCCATTGGTGGCCTCCAAATCCTTGGTCATCTTGTCCACCAAGGAAGCATGCTCTTGAAGAAGCTTGCTGCGTTCTTCACTCTGAGCATTCTTAGTATCGGATGCCTCCTGCATGCAGTTTAGGGTTTAGGGTTTAGTGTTTAGGGCTAACCTCCGAACACTCCTCATTCCCCTGCTAAGAACGAGTCAGAAACAGCCGTCCTTCTGCATCTGTTCGATGACTTTCTGCGCTTTCTCCCTGGCGACCTCACACTCTGCACTTTTCGCCTTCTCGGCTTCGAGGAGAGCATGGGTCCTGCAACGACTGCACCATGACTCAATAATAATAGTGAAAATAAACATAATGAAAAAATCTATTGCCAGTACTAATAATCATCATGGTCATAATCATAATCAGAATCACAATCTTAATAGTAATACAAACAATCATAATCATAATCAGAATCATCATCATAATAATAATGAAAGTAAGGAGGACTCAGCATGGGCAAAGAGACCACTCTTTCCTCTTACGCAGCGGTGGATGTGCGCCTGGCAACTTCCTCGTCCGTCTTCAGCTTGTCTTTGGCTGCTTCAAGTTGGGCTTGCAAATCTTTGGCCAGCCTCAGACTCATGAGCCGCACATGGCCCTTAGCTCGGCACTGTGACGGGAAACCGCGACTGCGGAAAACCACGGGACGGTATGCCCTGGTATGACCGGGTATGACCGGGTATGACTGGGTATGACCGGGTATGACCGGGTATGCCCGGGTATGCCCGGGTATGACCGGTCTTGACTGGGTACGCCGGTACATGACCGCATATGACCGTGTGTGACCGGGTACGCCGGTACATGACCGCATATGACCGTGTGTGACCGTGACGGGGCCTGACTGGGTGCGACGGAGTCGCGCGTACTCGCGCGTACTCGGGCGTACTCGGGCGTACCACAGTACTCGGGCGTACTCGGGCATAGTCCAGATTACACCTCATTCGATGCAGGGCTGGTGGTTTGGGAGGGGAAAAGCCAGGTGTGAGGTTGAGGGGTTTGCAGCTGAAGTCTGAAGAGTCTTCAGTCCCCGCGTCATCTAGTAGAGGAGGCAGACAAAGTCGGCTCGCAGGCCATCGTCGCGGGAGATGAGCTTTCGAAGGGTCTACCCTCTCTCCTAAACCCGAAAACCTAAATGCCAAGCGCACACGACTTACAGCCCGGCGGGGCTATAGAGTGCTAACACTGTGTTTTCGGGCCAGCATCCCCCTACGAATTACCTGGAGCTGTTTTGCTAAGGTGAAAATAGGGTTTTGGGTTTCGCATTTCAGCGAGAAAGCGAGCAGGGTTGAATTTTCTAGGGACCTGCACCCTCCTACTCGGCGTACTCGGGCGTACTCCGCCGTACTCGGGCATACTCGGGCGTACTCGGGCGTACTCGGGCCTACCGGGCGTACTCGTTCTCGGGCGTACTCGGGCTGCAGTCGCCGGTACTGAAAATCAGCATTTTTCATTGCGGGAGCAGGCAAATCCTGGGTTCCCCCCGTGTTGGGGGGCTTTTTAAAGCTATTTGGGGCTGCGGTGGTGCTTTGGGGTAATGCCTGTAGGACTTAGGATTTAGGGTTCAGGGCCCTCTCTGGGCTTTTAAGCTTTAGGGTTTAAGGACTTAGGCTTTAGGGTTTAAGGGCCTTTTTGGGGCGTTTAGGATCTAGGATTCAGGGGCCTCTCGGCCTCTCTGGAGCTTTTAGGATCTAGGATTTCGGGTTCAGGGGACTTAGGCAGTAAGAATTGAAATGGTAGATAAGGTTGCCAAATGAAAGGGATTCTGGGTGGGTGGGGTGATGCCAAACACCCTTAGTGAATGCTTGGATCAGAGAGTGCTGAACCCTAAACCCTAAACCCTAAACGCTAAAGCCTAAACCCTGCACCCGATTCAACCCTAAGCCCTAAACCCTAAGCCCCAGCCGCCCCTGAAACCCCTCACACCCCGGGGAGCAAGCTGCCTTGAAGACTCCTCCTGCTGCTTCTCCGTATCTTGTCGCTGCGTTTCCGCGCGCTGCTTCACCTCCTGGAATGGATGCTCTTTAGCTCGAGGGTTTAGGGTTTAGGGTTTAGGGTTTAGGGTTTAGGGTCATTGGTGGCCTCCAAATCCTTGGTCATCTTGTCCACCAAGGAAGCATGCTCTTGAAGAAGCTTGCTGCGTTCTTCACTCTGAGCATTCTTCGTATCGGATGCCTCCTGCATGCGGTTTAGGGTTTAGGGTTTAGGGTTTAGGGTTTAGGGTTTAGGGTTTAGGGTTTAGGGTTTAGGGTTTAGGGTTTATTAGGGTTTAGGGTTTCGGGTTTCCCTCCGAATGCTCCATGACCATCATGGCAGGCAAGGGGATGAGGCAATCAGGTACCGCATGTCCCCATCTGTATACCCTTCAAGGGATTCTACAGCTACCTCATTCCCTCCTTCCTTAAATTCTAAACCCTAACCCCTCCTTCCCTACTAAGAACGAGTCAGAAACAGCCGTCCTTCTGCATCTGTTCAATGACTTTCTGCGCTTTCTCCCTGGCGACCTCGCACTCTGCGCTTTTCGCCTTCTCGGCTTCGAGGAGAGCATGGGTCCTGCAACGACTGCACCATGACTCAATAATAAGAATCACCATCATAATCATAATAATACTACTAGAATAATATTGATATATAATAATAATAATCATAATAGTAATAATAGTAATGTGAGGAGGACTCAGCATTGACAGAGAGACGACTCTTTCCTCTTACGCAGTGGAGGGAAGTGTGCCTGGCAACTTCCTCGTCTGTCTTGAGCTTGTCTTTGGCTGCTTCAAGTTGGGCTAATCATGTAACGCAACAATAATATACATATATATATATAAATAACAATAATAGTATATTAGTAATAATAATAATAATGACAATTCAAATAAATCTAATAATGATAGCCTCATGAGCCGCAGATGGCCCTTCGAATCCAAGCTGGCAGGTCACAAAATGCGAAAGCCTCGAGGCCCAAATCCGAACCCTCCCCGCTCGCCCCCGCCCTAAACCCTAAACCCTAAACCCTAAACCCTAAACCCTAAACCCTAAACCCTAAACCCTAAACCCTAAACAATAAACCCTGCACCCTTCAACCCCAAACCCTAAGCCCCAGCCGCCCTGAAACCCCTCAAACCCAGGGGAGCAAACTGCCTTGAGGACTCCTCCTTCTGCTTCTCCGTATCTTGTCGCTGCGCTTCCGCGCGCTGCTTCACCTCCTGGAATGGGCGCTCTTCAGCTCGAGGGTTTAGGGTTTAGGGTCTAGGGTTTAGGGTTTCGGGTTTAAAACACGACTTGCTACAATAGGCTAAGGGTTAGCAGTGCACACTGCAAAGCAAGCATGCCACAAGTATCAACAGGGTTTACATCCAGCAGGATGAGGCTTCGCAAGCTTAAGAGTTCGACCATCGGAGGCATACAGAGACACCTGGAGTAGCACCACCCGAATCCTAGCCGTTCGATGTCGCACTTGCAAGCCTATGGACATACCGAAGTGTGGGTGTGATGAATTAGGGATTTAGGGTTTAGGGTTTAGGATTTACAGGTTTAAGGTTTGGGATTTAGGGTTTGGGGCACTGCAGTTTAATTACCCTGCAAGCCATGCGTAGCTTGCCTCAAGCTGTGCTTTCAGCTCTGCGACCTTCGACTCCTCCGATTCCTGCAGTTGCAAGTGCCCAGGGGGGGGTTTAGGGTTTAGGGTTTAGGGTTTAGGGGTTAGGGGTTAGGGTTCTGCTGTATTGCTCTCGCCTTAGCCCAGGTGCCGTGCAAGCAGAGCTTCGAGCAGCTACAGTACGGTCTGAGCGCACTGTCGTCACAAGCCCATGCATGTGCGTGTGAGGCGATGCTGCTTTTTTTGCCAGCTGGATCCGCCTCGTCTTCTGTTGCATCAACGGATGAGACCTACACGCATCCGAAATGATGTAAGCAAAGGATGGATTTTGCTTGCATGTCAGCGAATGCTAGAGAGGCTGAAACATGTGAGGCTCCGTTGCTGCCCACATCTTCTAGAGCCGTGGATCCACGGGCATGCATCCAGCTGGCATTCCACCATCACTCTTGTAAAGTAAGGCCTTGAGATAGGCAACGCCTGGCGTTTCTTCCCCCACAGCTATTCCCACATCTGGAGCGCACAGCTAGCCAAACCTCGTCTTATATCGGTCATAGCGTGGGACGATCGGAACGTCATCCCTGTCGGTGCAGCTCCTCAACACGTCGAGCAGCAAGCGCCGTGGATCCCGTGGTCCATCTACCAGAACCTTTCCTCTGCTTCGCATGTAGACGAGTTCCAGTGGTCTGCTTGGAAAGCGTTCTGCACTAGATCTCCTGTCATTCTTGAGGGCCCACTTGGGCATCCAGCCCATGCACTTCGCCCTGCACTGGACGCCGGCCGGGCCTCTCCAAATCGCCTGCTCCTCTGTGATGCTGATCCTTGGTAGCCCAGTAGCCATATTAGAATAAGAGCACCTTTTTTGGGGTTGGCTATTTTATAAAGGGAATGGCCATAACCCCAAAAAAAAGTGAAGGGTACCACTGGGGCCACCAAGGATCCAACTTCCCCGGAGCATCCTTGCGAGCTCTTTATTGGATGCCTCTGCCTCCAGCTCCTCCAGATTCTCCAGCTCGCCGGCAAGATGCTCGTCGAACACGGCCGTGAACTTTGCCGTTGACAGCTTGCAACATCTTACCTGGGCGACTGCCATGGCTGCCAAGCATGATTTCTTAGTCACGGGAAGCTTGTGCTTTCGGAAGCATGAAACATGCTCCTAGACAGCGATCCAACTACGTTTGGCGAGGGGTAATGGGTGGCAAACTCATCCTCATCTTCTCCAACGTCAAGGGTGAACTCGCGCTGATCACCTTAGCTGTGGATGACATGAAAGAGCACCTTTTGGGGGGGAGGCGGGGGGGGGGCGGGGGGCGTGGGCGGGGGGGGGGGTTGGGGTGTGGCCGGGGGGGGGGGGGGGGGGGGGGGGGTGGGGGGAAACTCCACCGCGTGTATGTTCATAAACCCTAGCTAAGCCCCAAAGGGACGGAGGAGGCACCATGAGGCACTCTTCGATTTAACAGGCCTAGGGCCTAAGGGTTTCGGGTTTGATTGAGCTGGTAGATCAACCGAATGAGACACGACAAAGACTGACAGCCGAATTAGGGTCACAATTGCCGAGATCTAAATCTATGGCAGTGACAGAAGTGCTAAGAGATGTGTCGTCTGTTTCTGCACCTTTCAAAACCAGCCGGCGGGCAGTTTAGGATTTAGGGGGTTTTCTTGTCTGAGAGGAGTGTCAGCAACAAGGTGCACAATCGGAACTCTAGCTGGTCACAGCAAGACAGCATCCAAGCGAGCCACGGTCATATTCGCGCTTTAGCCTGCGAAGATAGTACTTGCCATCTGTCGTGGGGCACACCTGCGTCTGCTGCGTCCTGACAACACAGGATCCGAACATCAGCAGTGACATGTTCCAGTCAACCAAACAGTTTGGTTAAACGCTGGCGAAACCCTGCATAGCTTGCAACTGACATGAAGGTTCGTAGAACGCAACCCAGGTTGGCCCTCAGAAACATGGCGTGTCCTTGCCGGGTCGGTCATGTCCAAGCGACATGACCCCATCTGAATCCACTGAGCAATGGATCTGCTTCTGGTATCCTGCCACTTCACTGAAGCAATTCTATCCACCTCACCACCACGCCGGTCGTCGCTTTCAAAAGTGAATAAGAGTTCGCCAATTGCTTTGGAATAACGGTTCTCCTTCACACGCTTCTTCTGCGCCTTGTTTTTGGCCATCTCTCCGTTCTTTACCATCTCCTTCTCGTGATCGTATTCTGGGCTGCGCGGCCACACGATGTCATGATTGCAGAAAGGCAAGACTATCCCTCGACCTTCAAGCCCCTCCCCCTTTCCCGGTTGAGCGAAGTTGAGGCCCTCTTGGGAGCTCTTTTTTTAATGTTGTGGTGTGTTTTAGTATTTTAGGAATTTTACTTATTATGTCACCCTCCCCTTTGCCGTGCATGTGAGGCAACCTGTTGGAATGATCACGCTTTTTGAAAAGAGCACGGCAACCTCCACCACCCAAGCACATAACCGGGCGTCACACGAATCAGATGTGTTCGAGTAAACGTTTAAATCTGGACTGAGCATCTATAGACCTGCGACACCTTGTCATTGTACGGGAGCCGAAGACCGTTGGTAGCGCTGATCGTCGTCTTGTCAAAGACAGCTTCCCACTCGTTCGTATCATGTAGCCGGATGAGTTCCTCTTTAAGCCCTCGAAGATACGAGCCCGGTTTCGCCGTCTCCTCCTGAAAAATCTCCAGAGTCACTTCGCGGAGATACCCAGCGACATCTGAATCCACGACCAAGTCCGGCCACACCAAGTGAAACGATGACTTCATAAGCTCCTTGCCCTTGTTGTAGCCTGGCTTATCAACCTTAAGCCCTAAGCCCTAAGACCCTAAGACCCTAAGCCGCAAAAACCCTAAAGCACCAACCCACAACTGCCCACAACCTCAAAGTGGCGAAAACCCTGATAATATTAGACCTGCCCATTGAGGAAGGGAATTCGGCTTTAGGGTTTAGGGTTTAGAGCCTAAGCCCTAAACCCAAAACCCCAAACACCTTTCCTGGCCTGACGCAGAGTAGACAAGGCAGCGCAGCTCCTTGAGCTGCGGAAACCTTGAAAGGGGGGGTTTAGGGCTTAGGGTTTAGGGTTTGGGTTTGGAGGATTAAGAGGTTAGGGTTTGGAGGGGCTCTTCAGATCCCGGCTTTAGTTGTGGAACCTAAGGGTATTATTTAGGGTTTTCAGGGTTCCCTTTGTCTGTATAATGCGAGCGTATCTGGGATCTTTATGGGGTTATGACGTTTTCGGGGGGGGGGGGGGGGATTTCTGCTTTTGGGGAGAGTAGGTTGATCATGCCTTGCGACCATACCTATGATGGCTTATGATCAGGACTCTAAACCCTAAACCCTAACCCTAAACCCTAAACCCTAAATTGGGAAGGAGCCAAAGCAACTCCACATCTGTACACGAGATTCAGAACTGCAGCCGACTCGGTCTGTTTGTTTGTTGCTGCTGGTTGCGTTGGGCACTAAGATACGCTTACCGGAAATGGTGCCATCGTATGCTCTGCTATACTATAGCAAACACACATAAGATCAAAAACACCCCCTGATGACATTACATGGGGATGTCATGGGAAGCTAGGGTACCCTAAACCCTAAACCCTAAAGCCCTAAACCCTAAACCCTAAACCCTAAACCTAGTGTTTTCGGCTCAAACACATGCGCGAGCTCAAGGCCGCGGTTGCGGGAGAGGGCCCGGGGGGAGGGCAGGAGGGGGGAGGCGAGGCGGTGGGGTGCCCGCATTCTCCAGGTTTAGGCTGAATGTCTGCCTCTTGGTGGACCTCCTTCTGAATTTAGTAAATATGGTCAGTGCTCCATGGCTTGCTTCTCAGCATTAGGGTTTAGGGTTTAAGGTTTAGGGGGCCTTCCCTTGATTTTTAAGGCTTCTGGGAGCCAGGGATCGGTTCGGCCGGGGCTCCTTATGGGAGACAATTTCTGGTCGTTGTCGTTAGGGAGTGGGGTTGCTTCAGGATTGCGAGAGTTGTTCTTCTATGCGAGTTGAGGTTTCGTCCACAATCGCTCCTTTCGGGGAGTCGGGCATCGGCTGCTTCCCTTAGGAAAAACTTGTTGAGGTTCATGAGCTACATCAAGTCTGCCAGTCAGCCTTCCTTAATGTGTTTGCGAGACAGCCTGGGAAGAAAGAACTGCCCTCAGCTTGGGTATTCACCTACGTGTCCCATTTAGGGTTTAGGGTTTAGGGTTTAGGATTTAGGGTTTAGGGTTTAGGGTTTAGGGTATCATCCAAGGAACAGACAGTGGATGGCTTTCGCGCGCCAGCGCATTAACTCCCCTGGGTCGTTGTTGTTCTGCCTCAGAGGTTTTTCCCGATCCCGTGAACGGTGGGAACTTGTAGAAGAGTACTTAATCTCTTTGGGTCCACTGTCGCAGTATGACTAGAGTAAGCCCCCCCTCCCCCAGGGACTCCCCCACCGCCTAGCATTAAAGAGCACTATGTATATGCATACATATATTATAAGTATACTTCACCAAAACCCTAAACCCTAAACCCTAAACCCAAAACCCTAAACCCTAAACCCTTAATTCAACTCGCAATCATACAAATTCACATATTGCTAAATTCGAAATTTCAGCCACCGCCTAAGAGAAGAGGTATTATATGCAGCCACGGACCGCGGCCCAGAAGTCGCACTGATACTGAACAAAAACCCCAGAACCCTAAAGGTTTAGGGTTTAGGGTTTAGGGTTTAGGGTTTAGGGTTTAGGGTTTAGGGTTTAGGGTTTAGGGTTTAGGGTTTAGGGTCCTGAACCCATAACATCTTAACATGTACGCACATAAGAAAACACGTCAATACCACTATGTACATAGCTATGTCTATGTACCTTCCGAATACTCCGAAAGCCCTTAAACCCCAAAACCATTAAGGACCCTGAAAATCGGGGTGAGAATAATGACTAATAGTATTATTCCCTTAGGGCCCCCTTGTAATTCACGATAATAACCCCCCCCCCCCCAAAACCCTATTCAAGTCGTTCACGCCCCTATATTAAGTGATGCTGCCACGGGTCCCCGGTTTGAACATGATGAGGTGGTCGGGCGGTGGTGGTCGCTCGGGATGATCGGGGTCTCTTTGCTCCGTCCAGTCGAGGCTGGCCTTCATGGCTGACGCAAAGGAGGGGTGTAGGGTTTAGGGTTTAGGGCTTAGGGTTTAGGGTTTAGGGCTTAGGGTTTAGGGTCTAGGGTAGAAGCCCTACTCGGATTCAGCCTTGGGCCTTAGGGTTTAGGGTGCGGTTTAGGGTTTACGTTTGGGGCTTGGAGTTTGAAGACGTCTAGGAAGCCCAGGAGGGTGGGGAGAGGGGGCGAGGGCTGTGTGCGGTTTAGGGTTTAGGGTTTAGGTTTTAGGGTTTAGGGGGCGTATCGCGGATGTCATGTGGGGTGGGGATGATGGGTTGTTAGGGACGCTTGCGCTTTGGCGAACTGGGTTCCGCAACAGGGTTTTCACGACTTGCAAACACTCAACCCTAAACCCTAAACCCTAAACCGCAAACTCTAAACTCTAAAGCCTGAACCCTGAACCCTGAACCCTGAACCCTAAACCCTACACCCTACACCCTAAACCGCAACCTGGATGTCGAAATCCTCGATGAATGGAAACTTGGCTGTCTGGCGTTCGGAGATGTAGTGGAAGATGCCCCGCTCCTCGGTTGGCCCCTTCAAACCCTCTGAAACACACAAACGGTTTAGGGTCTAGGGTAGGGTTTAGGGTTTGGGGTTTGGGGTTTAGGGTTTAGGGTTGAGAGGCAAAAAATGAAATGTCCCAAGGGCCTACCCAGTCTCATAGAGCCATGCAATGTTCTCGAAAAGTTGCTTCTGCACGCTTGGACTGTCGGGGAAATGCCATTTGCCAGTCTGAGTGAATGTATCCTGGGTACCCATCAAGCTACAGTGTGTCATGGTGTTTCCATTCGTCTCAAAGTGCCTGAAGAACTGATAGACCTCTGCATACTTCGTGTGATCTTCCGGAGTCATCTTTGCAAGCATCTTGCCGACGTCCCTTTCCACGCGAACCGGATATAACGATCTGATCGATTCCGGCGGCCGGTAGTCGTTGGCCAGTATCCCAGAGATTTGAGCATCAAAATCCCATCTGGACACCATTTGATCGACGATTTGTCCAGCTGTGTCCTCACGAGCGGAAGATCAGCTCAGGAAAGGGGTCTATCATGCCATTGGGTACGCATCCCCAACAAGCTACACACGGCCTGCGTGCCATGTACCGTGAAAACCAGGCGGAAGGTCTTATTGCACACGCGAAGCCATATGGGGGTTACGAAAATAGAGGATCCCTAAAATAGACCCCCAAGTAATAGGATTCAAATTAAAATAAGGACCCCATTGGGGTACGCCGATTTTCGGAAACCCCCCATATTGAGCAGCCAGGAAGCTCTCAAGTGTTTGCAGTGAAGCCCTCCGTTCTTCTCTGTCTCCCAGCGTTCGGCATGTTTCGCATGCGTGCTCTTCAGGTTTGCCTCATCCATCGCACGCAAGCTCACCTCACGTTTCCGAAGAAGGTCGCAAACCCACTGCAGCTTTGGCAGGGAGAGGTGGAATAAAAGATGTGGGCTCTTGATATGAAACTTCTCGTCCAGCACGTTGCTGAGCTTCCTGTCCCATAGCATTCGATAGTCATCATCCAGGTTATGCTCCTTGCATGCTCTTAAGTCGGAAATCAGTACTCAGGAAATCACGAAGAAATGTCCAGTTGAGGTCATCCGCAACCGCAACACCTGACTCTTACTCTGCTTACAAGAAAAGTTCCCTGAGCCTCGAAGTAGCAGCCATGAAATGTGAGCCGCGACTAAAAACTCATCCCCATGAGCCCGACACCCCTCCAAGCCGAGAAAGCCCAAACCTGTAAACCCGAAACCTCCAAAAAGCCAAACCCGGTGAACCCTAAACCCTAGAAACCCTAGAAACCCTACAAACACTACAAACCCTGCGAATCCCTCTAACCCTAGAAACCCCAGAAACCCTAGAACCCTACAAACCCTACGAACCCGACAAACCCAACCAACCCTACAAACCCTACGAACCCTACAAGCCCTGCAAACTCTATAGAACTCTAACAACCCTACAATCCCTACAAACCCTAGAGAAACTAGAGAAACTCTAGAGAAACCCTAGAGAAACCCTAGAGAAACCCTAGAGAAACCCTAGAGAAACCCTAGAGAAACCCTAGAAACCCTAAACCCTGAGCCAGGTTCGTTGATCCGCCGCGTCCCCCGTGGCGCGATCTCGTGGCCCCAGGGAGTTTGGAGCTTCTTGCCGCCGCTTTCCCTTGCGATGGCGAGCTCCACATACTCCCACTCCTTGGGGGTGTTTAGGGCTCAGAGGGTTTAGGGGGCAGCTCTATATGTATTATATATGTGTATACATCTATGAATGTGTGTACACATGTGCAGAAATAGTTGTAGTTGTTATTCATATGTATGTATATGCATACATGCATAAACGAGTTCCACCACGGCGTTTTGGTTTTCTTATGATGATAGTCAGCCAATCGGTTTGGAGACGTTGTTCCCTGTCCTTTCTGTTGCAACGCCGGATGAAGTCCTCGAGGAGTTTGTGCCCCTCATCAAAGACCTGCTTGACGGCACTGTACTGCACAACGAGCTCGTCCCAGTCCTCGCACTGCGGCTCGCGATTCGGCTCAGTGTCTGCAGCCTTGAAGATAATTCCGCTCAGGTTGACGTGCCCGTGTTCAGCCCCCCCCTCTGGACAGAAGATGCGGCCGTGGCAGTCTACATCAACCCTGCAACGTTCTGCCTCTGCGAACATGTGGCCGCGGGTGAAGAAAACCTCACGTCGCTCCGGCCAATGGCCGCGTGGAAGCCGGCCGAGGGCTCTGCGTGGGTGTGGCGTGTTGTTCTCTGCAGACCAACGCAATGCCCCTTCCAAACAGACGATGCTACCCTGTCGAAAGGCAACCGCACCACTTGAATCGTCCTGCTCCCAAAAAATTCTGCTAGGTGCCTTCTTCTCTTTGTCCAAGGCGGCCGCAATCGGAATGCCTGAGTCAAGGATGAACCGCACTCCATCCAGGTAAATAAAGCCACGCTTCTTCTGCTGAACAATTCGCATGGTGCCCTTCTTGTCTAGGGCGTGTGTGTTGCCTCCTTCCACAGCAATTTGCCCATCGGGGCGGATAGTCACCGCAACCGCCTCCTCTGCCAAGAGCTCAAGGTCGATGTCAGCGCCCTCCTGTTGGTTTGGGCGCCTCTTGAGCAGTGGTGCCAGGCAGCGGATGGTCCGAAGAGGGCGGCAGCCTTCGGGCAAGAATGCGATTGTCTGCGCCTCGATGCCGAAGGTATTTGCATCAAAGGAACCCTGCAACAACACGATTCTGCCCACTTGATGGAAGCCTGGTGTCTCGCGTTCATCTTGGACAGTCGTGGAACCCTCACAATGTCTGGGCCGCAAAGCTGGGCGGTCCTGAAAGTGTAGATCGCGGTGATACTGTCGCCCGACTTCGCGTTGGAGCTGCGGACGGAGATCAAGTTCCTGCAGTTCCTCTCGGCCACAGTACATGGCGAGCCCGGACAGGTGTAACACCATGGGCACCGCATTCCTTGGAACGGGGACAGACTTAAACTTCACTGCGCAACTCGTAGTGAACTCAGCGAGATAAACCTTTTAGGGTCAGTGGCTTCTGCTCATTTTAGGGTTTTTGGGGTTTTGGGAACCCTAAACCCTAAACACAAAACATTCCCATATGCTGTTCAGTTTACTATTTTGGGAATGCTTATTATCAGAGGGGCGAAGAGGGTTTTCATATGCTTACTGTCAGGGGGATCGGCAACTTTCTTGAACAGCCCTCCACCCTAAACCCTAAACCCTAAACCCTAAACCCTACACCCTACACCCTAAACCCTAAACTGAACAGCCTGGCCAAGAGTCTTGTTTACACTTAAGACAACCTTGGGAGCTCCTGGTGCAGTCGAGCCCACCCGCTGATTTGGTGGTACCTATACTCAACTTGGAGAACCCTAGTAAAAATCACAATGTTTGCTGCTTCTTAGGAATTATAGTACCCAACAAATTATGCTTCTTGCTGTTTCTTAGGAGTTTTTGGTACCAAAAAACTTGAAAAGTATTTCCAAGTACCGCCAAGGTACAATGGTGATGGTTGTGCCACAGCGCCGGATGCCCTCAAACCGGGAGACGTGTATTGGTGCTGTAAACCTTAGTTGCTGAGTTCATAAGACCCAAACAAGTGCACACTTTCATTTTGTGTAGGGGATACTAGTTACCCAGCAATACTAGTTACCCAGCAAGTGTAAAGTGTGCTCACTCAGCTACTAAGAAACGGCACCTTTCGTTCAGGTGTCCAGCCTGTCGGAAGCCAGCCAATCGATGCGTCCATGTTCGCCTGGCCACGGCGCGTCTTGACGTTTGAAGGCGCATGCTTCGCTCTTAGCTCCTGTCTTTGCTGATCGTTCCTCCGTTAGGATCTACAAGTACTTCAAGATTCAGCCCTAAACCCTAAGCACAAAACACAAAACCCGGCTAGCTGAAGACCTTGATGCTAGCACTGCACTTTGGCCGTAACCCTGCCCTAAACCCTAAACCCTAAACACAAAACCCTAAACCCTGGACCTGCGGTTTTGAACTGCAGATCCGAAGATCCTTTCATTCCTTCTCTTAGAACAAGAGCGCGCGCCCACGCTGGCAACCCTAAAACCCTAACACCCTAAAGCCCAAAAGCCGTAAAACCCTAAAACCCTAAAACCCCAAAACCCCAAAACCCTAAAACCCTAAAACCCTAAAACCCTAAAACCCTAAACCCTAAACCCTACAACTAAGGAAGTTGCCTTCATCTGCACGGGAGCCAGGGTCGTGATGCATCCTGACACCAGCACCAGGTCACCCTGTCGGAGGACCTCAGTCTGCTTCTACTTAGGGTTTAGGGTTAGGGTTTAGGGTTTAGGGTTTAGGGTTTTAGGGTTTTAGGGTTTAGGGTTTAGGGTTTAGGGTTTAGGGTTTAGGGTTTAGGGTTTAGGGTTTAGGGTTTAGGGTTTTAGAGTTTAGGGTTTAGGGTCTAGGGTTGAGGGTTTTAGGCTTTTGGGGTCCTTGCTCTAAGGGAATCCTACTATTTTGGATCTATTTTCGGTGCTCCCTATCTTCGTAAACCCCCACTTGAAGGTTCATGGGTAGCTGTAAGTAGGGTTATCAGTAAGCTAGCCTATGTTCTAACCTCAGCTAATGTACGGTAGCCCAGTAACCATACTATGATGAGGGTACCTTTTTTGGAGTTGGTAAGAGAACCTTGAAGCAAAAGAAAGGGCAAACGGGTAACACTGGGCTTCCAGGTATAACCCTAAACCCTAAACCCTAAGCCCTAAACCCCAAACCCTAAAGCCTAAACCCTAAACCCTAAACCCAAGAACGTCCAAGTAGGGCAGCCCAGGTGTGCGGCCGTTCGGGAGTTGGGCCTATGCCATTTGCTGGTTACAGTGTGATGCAAAACCATGAGCGGAACACTAAAACACACTCTAAATCCCTTCAGAAAGCCCCTAGACACCCTAAACCCCTAAACCCTAACCTCAAAAATCCAAGGAACGGATGGGCTTTGCTCTTTCTGCGGCATGCGAAGATCAAACAAGCACCAGTTCTTCCTCAGGTCCACGTTGGACGACTGCTCGGACGTGTCGTACATGGCGAAGCAGGGCGGGAGCGGCGCGGTGGTGCAGTTTAGGCAGTCCGGTTGATCATTTTTTTTGATCTGAGAGGGGCATCCTTTGAGGGTTTAGGGTTTAGGGTGTAGGGTGTAGGGTTTAGGGTTTAGGGTTTAGGGTTTAGGCGGTGGCTTGAGGTGCATAACATGCTGCCAGAGACTGGTTGTTGTTTTCGATGGCAGAGGGAATACAGGAGCACTCAGTCATAATATTCGGAGCTTAGGACGGCTTTGGTTTGAACGCCCATGCACGTTTCAGACTTACATTACCTGCATCCGTCCAAGCCCTGGCCATTCATCCTAAATCCTAAACCCTAAATCCTAAACCCTAAAGCCTAAACCCTAAACCCCGCCCTCTTGCGTGCACCCTGCAGCAACCTTGGACAACGTTGAGTATACTAAGCCCGAATGAAGAGGGTTTAGGAAAATAAGGGACCCCGCATACAGTCCCTTGAATAGGATCCCCTTAGAAATAAGGACCCCAATTAGATACCCCTAATATCGTAAACCCCCAAATGAACCCTCAGCCCGAAATCCCGAATCTAAACCCTAAACCCTAAACCCTAAACCCTGAACCCTAAACCCTAAGCCCTGAACCATATTCCTAGCGGCCGTCCTTTCCGGGGTCACGCGCCACCAGCTCCCGGCGCAATTCGGTAACCTCCTGTAGGAGTGAGTCTCGCTCTGCTTCCTTGGCGGCAGATGTTGAAAACCCCTAAACCCTAAACTCGAGACCCTAAACTCTGTAAGGGACTCCAGTCCCAGAAACATTCTGGGGCCACTTCGGCATATGAAGGAACATAAAAGTTTATGGAAGGGTTTTTTGAGGTTTAGGAATGGTTTTTTGGGGGTTTAGGGCTTTTAGGGCCAGTGTAGGGTTAGGGTTAGGGTTTAGGGTTTGGGGCTTGGGATTTAAGGTTCCCTTCTTTTGACCCCTGGGATCCTACCCCGCAACTGCAAAGGGAGCGAAAGACCCCCAAGCACGAAGCCTCCAACGCCCTAAGCCCAAGCCCTAATCCCAAGCCCTAAACCCTAAACCCTAAACCCTAAACCCGAAACCCTAAACCCTAAACCCTAAACCCTAAAAGCATTTCAACCTTCATGAAACGTTTTTTGGAGCCCTCAGAGGGGTCCCGGCCAAGGGGTTTCCTGGCCCCTCGCCGCAGATCCCCCAGCCTGAAACCGCATCCTGAGACACGCCAGGCTTCATCTAAACCCTAAACCCTAAACCCTAAACCCTAAACCCTAAACCCTAAACCCATGGGACCCTGGCTCTGGTCTAAAGCAATCTTTGCGGTTTTTTATAAAGGCGGAAGTTTCTGGAAGGCACGCACGATTTTGCCGAGACAAGTAAGAAAAATGGATACCTAAGTCAAATGGAAAGTGATTCTGGGAGGGTGGGGTGATACCAAGTACATGGTGATGTTACAGGGCCTGGCGAATCGCCAGCCCAAGCCAATCGTAGACCCGAAAACCTAAGCCCCAAGCCCTAAACCCTCCAAACCGCAAACCCTGCGCCCTAAACCATCTAAAGCCCTTCAACCCTGAGACCCAAACTCCCTCAACCATCCCTCAATCCCTAACACCCTCGACCCGGAACTTCTTACCCAGAACTCCTTGAAAACGCTGAAAACCTTAAACGCTCAGCCCCCTTTACCAACCCTAAAAGCAAACCTGTCGTGCACCAAGGCGTCCAGGGATGCAAAGCCATTTTCAAGCTCGGCCCAACCTTCTGCCACAACCAAGCTTTCACGGTTCCAGGCTCACTGTTCCAGGAGTGTTCAGCTAAACCCTATAAACCCTAGCCCTAACTTAAACCAAAAACCCTACACCCCAAACCCTTTTTGGGTTGATCAATGGGCGCCAGGCGGACAAAATGCGTCAGGCGTTGCGCACGGGAGGGAAGGAAAGAAGCTACGACGGGGCTTTAGGGCTTCAGGGTCTCTACGGGTTAAACACTATAAACGCCATGAAGCACAAAAAGCCTTGTAAACCTATGAACGCTACAAGCCCTACTGTAGACGCCGTAACCCAATAAACCCCCCAACTCCGAAAGGCTTTTGAGTTCGGAAGTCGGAGGAAAAGGTTCGGTGTGTTAGATCCATTCAAAGCAAACGACCTCTTAGGGTTGAGTAACAGGTTGAGGGCGTTGAACCCTAAACCCTAAACCCTAAACCCTAAACCCTAAACCGGTTTAGGCTGTAGGCCCTTAGGGCTTGCGCTGCCGGGCTTTCCCAGGCTGAAAAGCATGAGGGTTTAGGGTTTAGGGTTTAGGGTTTGGGGTTTAGGGTTTAGGGTTTAGGGTTTAGGGTTTCGGGTTTGGCGCAACAGCCGCCCAAACACCCAAAACGCTTAAACCTCCCTACGCAGAACCCTTAACCACTAAACTCCAATCAAATCCTCAACCCTAGGACCCCAAAACCCTAGCCGCCCACCCACCCACCCACCCCCACCCCCACCCACCCACAGACCCACAGACCCACAGACCCACAGACCCAGAGACCCAGAGACCCACAGACCCACAGACGTACAGACGTACAGATCCACAGACCCACAGACCCACAGACCCGCAGACCCACCCACCCACCCGCCCACCCACACCCACACCCACAGCCCCAGCCCCAGCCGCACCCGCACCCGCACCCCACACCCACACCCACACCCCCACCCACACCCACACCCACACCCACACCCACACCCACACCCACACCCACACCCACACCCACACCCACACCCACACCCACACCCACACCCACACCCACACCCACACCCACACCCACACCCACACCCACACCCACCCACACACATCCACACCCACCCACACACATCCAACACACACACACACACACACACACACCTCGCATAAAGGCCACCTAGACCCTAGACCCCAAACCCTAAACCTGCAGTCGGGTGGCGGTTGTGCCAGTCCACGCCTTCGGGCGGCTCCAGTTCAGCCATGGCAGCGGGGCTGGTGCTCGGGATCTAAGGGTCTTGATTAAGGGTTTTGGCCTTTGGGGCTTTGGCGTAGGGTTTTGGGAGGCTTAGGTTTTTGGGCTTAAGGGCTCGAAGGGTTTTGTCCATGAAGCTTTAGGGTGTTTAAGGGTGTTAGGGGTTTCATTGTAGGGTTTCAGGTTTAAGGTGCAGGGGCTGAAGGCTTAGAAACTATTAGCCGGCAGCGGCCAACTGTCAACCGCCGGGAAGATAAGCTTGAGCAAGCTGAGTCATGGCCCGAAACCTTCCCCCTGATTTTGGGGAAACCAGCGGCGAGTTCGAAGTGACTTGGCCTTTCACTCGTTGCGTGCGTATTTCAGGCACGTTGCGATGGCCAGAGTTGCCACAATGTGTGGTTCTTCTAGCTCTCGCTCGTTTTCCAACTCTCACAACCCTATCACAACCCTAAACCCGAAACACTAAACCCTAAACCCTAAACCCGAAAACTCTTAGGGGCTCTTCACAATCATTGGCACATGTCAGTGTCAAATCTCCATTCCTCACCCACTAGGGACCCAAAAGGGCTTTCAGAGCAACCTGGATCTTTCGGGTTGGCCCTTTTAAACTGTAATATGGGGGGCCTGAATAATTAGATAGGGTTTAGGGTTTAGGGTTTAGGGTTTAGGGTTTAGGGTTTAGGGTTTAGGGTTTAGGGTTTAGGGTTTAGGGTTTAGGGTTTAGGGTTTAGGATTTAGGGTTCCTAAACTCTAAACCCTAAACCCTAAACCCTAAACCCTTTGTGTCCAGAAAACTGCGAGAAGTGCCAGGCCAGCTTTCATGGCCCTTGAGAGATGGAAGTAGGAAGACATGCTCCAAAAGGGCGAAGCTGAAAGACGGGAATTCTACAATATGGGCCCATAAATGGGCACCCCTTATATACCCTCATATGCCCTATGGATCCCCGGGGCCCGTACTTCAGAACCCTTTGAAAGAGGTAGGGGACAAGGCACCGCACAACTTCCCTCGGAAGCTAGACAAGTAGTTCGTGCGATGCCGCTAGAAACATTGTGGTCGATACGACTTGAATCACCCTAAACCCTAAACCCTAAACCCTAAACCCTAAACCCTAAACCCTCAACGATAAACCCTAGGCTTGATTGCAGTTATCGTAAAGCTACTGGAGTGGATCATGTTCATCTTCTCGCCATAGGGGACTGAGGTTGTCTACTTTATGGCTTCGCTATACCCTAAGCCCCTTAAACCCTACACCCTACATCCCGAAACCCTAAACCCTTTTGTGTGTTAAGATCCTTTGCGACATCGCACACGCTTCATCGCTAACGCAGCTTCTGGTATTGCTCGGAACTGCTGATTTTCTCTTGTGCTCACTCTGCCAAAATGGCCGCTCTTCTGGTGCAAGACATCTAAGAAACGCGATTCCAAGAAACGTGCGAAAAGCGCCAAACGCTTGGCTATGCCAGTACCCGTCAGGTTTCATGAGCCCCATCGGGTTTTGTGAGTTTTTTCAACGTGAAAACGTGACGAAAAAAAGCTTCCAAAATCCGGCGGTTTTGTCTTAAGAAACGTGATCATGTCCAGTAGTGCGCAGAACCTAAGAAAGGCACACAGTGAGCTTTTGGATAAGCTTGGGCTGCGAAAGCTTGCCGATCTCCAACGCCGAGCCCATCAACCCCCCGCCTAAACCCTAAACCCCAAACCCCAAACCCTAAACCCTAAACCCTGGACCCCCTGAACCCCTGAACCCCTGAACCCCTGAACCCCTAAACCCTAAACCCTAAACCCTAACCCCTGAACCCCTCATCCTCTACACCCCAAAGCCCGAGCCCGCTTTTTGACCACGCTCGGCGCACCATCAGAGGGCTCAGGATGCCGGTGCCTTGTTTAGGGTTTAGGGTTAGGGTTTAGGGTTTAGGGATGTTTTTTTTTTTTTTTGGGGGGGGGGGGGGGGGTGTCAACAGTACAGGCTTTCAGACGCCCAGCCTGTTTAGGGTTTAGGGTTTAGGGTCTAGGGTTTAGGGTTTAGGGCTAGGGTTTAGGGTTAAGAGTTTTAGTACCCCCTATGATAATCTGATAATCCCTACTAAGGACTGTTCGTATACGGGGGAACATCCCAAGGGGGTAACATTACAAGCTTTCACCCAACCTGTTTACAGGAGGCCTGCTGCGCAAGAGGGATGACCCGGTACTACCGCAACAACTCTCTACCATAACTCCGACAACTGCAACCATCCTAAGTCCTGCACCCTAAAACCCTAAACCCTAAACCCTAAACCCTAAAACCCTAAACCCTAAACCCCAAAGCCTAAACCCTGAACAACCTAAAAAAGCTTCCTAGCACGCTCTGGGGTGCTGCAGGTGGAGCTTCCGCAGCGTCGTCATCGTCCACGACGTCCACCACTTGGACTGCGGCCTAAGGGTTTAGGGTTTAGGGTTTAGGGTGTAGGGTTTAGGGTTTAGGGTACCCTAGCTCCTAAACCCATCCATGGGGCTACAGCAAGCAAGTCGTCCAAGTGCCGGACGGCTCTTGGGGTCAAGGATGGCGATGCGGCAGCCCCTTCAGCCTCTCAATAAGTTGAAGGGTTTAGGGTTTAGGGAAAGGGTTTAGGGTTTAGGGTTTAGGTTTAGGGTTTCGGGTTTAGGGTTAAGGTTCTTAGTTTTGGTTTAGGGTTCAGGGTTCGAGGTTTAGGGTTTGATAGCTTAGTAACCCTTACCATCGGATACCGGACCTAAAAAGTTGTCAATATGATCATCATATAAATATGATCATCATAAAACCCGGCCCTATTAACATACAACTCTAATACAAGTACACCCTAAACCCTGAAACCCAAACCCCTAAACCCTTAAACCCTAATTAAACCCTTAAACCCTAAACTCCTAAATCCTTGAACCCCTACACCCTAAATACCCACAAACCCTAAATACCCATTCCAAAAACAAAATAAAAGCCCCTTTGGGGCGTTTCAATAGCACCTTGGCAGTCGGGGTGGCTCCGCCGGCCTTGCTGCTGTGCAGCGAGAGGATGGGTTCGGCGTTCTGGGTACTTAGGATAGGTTTAGGGTCTAGGGTTGAGGGTTTGGGGTTTGGGGTTTAGGGTTTAGGGTTTGGGGTTTGGGGTTTTTGGTTCAGGCTTTGGGGTTTAGGGAATCGGCCTGAAGGTTCGGGGGTTTGTCTTCGAAGCTTACTTTTCAAAACCCTGGCTTCCCCTCATTAAGAAGCCCCGAAAGTATGTTGTTGAATAAGGAGGTGTTCGAAGGCTTGAGGGATGTAACCTTGCAAGTGCTGGCCGTTTCGGATGTTCAAGGAAACTAGCTTCAAAGCCGTCACGGGCAAGACACGGGCTGTGGCGTAGGGCCCCTAAACCCTAAACCCTAGACCCTAAACCCTATGCGGAGATGCAGTTGGTATTTCAAGGTAGTGCTAATAGGTGGTAAAGGGCAATGACCTGCAATAATGTTTGGCTCAAGGATGGCCAGTAGCAACAAGGCCCAACGTTCAAAAAAGGTGTGACCTGGGGTTGGGTTTGGGGTTGGTTCCTAGGTGCTTAGTCATAGGCCCCCCGTACTCCCTTCCTTGGTTCTCTTTGTCCGTGTTCTTTGGTTTGGTTAGGTCTGGGGAATACAATTCTAGGGTAATTGTTGGGGTTGATTTCCTGGTTTCCTTTCCCCCTTTGGTTGCCCCGCGTACCCTAAACCCTAAACCCTAAACCCTAAACCCTAGACCCTAAACCCCAAACCCCAAACCCTAAACCCTAAACCCTAAACCCTATGCAACCCGAAACCCGAACCCTAAACCCTGAAACCTAGTCCTTATAACTCCTTTTGAAGCTATGTGGGCCATCGGCCTGGCGACCGAGTGACTCGGGCACCCAGGTGTGGTCACCAGCGCGGGGGGAGTTTAGGGTTTTCGGGTTTTATGGGTATTTAGGGTTTATGGGTGTTTAGGGTTTAGGGTTTAGGGTTTCAGGGGGCTTCTTGAGGGGCTTCTACTTGGCACTTAGGACGCCTTAAGGAGAGGGGTGTAGGGTTCTAGAGCGAGGCAAACCCTGGCACCCTGAACACCCCTAAACCCAAGGCACCCAACTTCGCCCTACTTCGCCTAAGCCCTAAACCCTAAACCCTAAACCCTAAACCCTAAACCCTAAACCCTAAACCCTAAACCCTAAACCCTAAAACCTAAACCCTAAACCCTAAAACCGAAACCCTAAACCCTAAACCAAGCCACCACATGAACCTTCATGCTGTAAGAATACCACCAGTTGCTGGAGTCTCAGAGCACGGCTGGCGAGCTCGGGCCTGGCCGATTTTTGGACTGAGGACCATGTGAGATTTAGGCTCCTCAGGGTTTAGGGATTAGGGTTTAATTGGGGTTTAGGGTTTGCGGTTTACGGTTTGGGGTTTGGGGTTTAGAGGGCTTCGGGTTCAGGATTTAGAGTGCTTTGGGGGTTTGAGGTTTAGTGCGACTTTGGAGTTGCTCAGTGTTTAGGACTGTGGGCTCCTTCTCAACACACCCCCCCGCCCCCCCCCTGACAGTAACACCTACAAGCTAACCCCCCTGGTCCTTCGTGGGGAATCGGGGGGATGAGGTACCCTACATAATCCCTTAAAGGGTGTTTATATGCGGGGTTTAGGGTACCTCATTCCCCCATTCCCTACTAAGAAAAAGCCACTATGCTTCGGCCAATTTTACAAGCCCTGCATCCCGAGAAACAATAAACCCTCGAATCGGAGAGTACCCGTCTCACACGAGGGTTTCGGGTTTAGGGTTTAGGGTTTAGGGAGCCGCTCGGCATCGAACCCATGCGATCACATGTAGAGAGCGTCAATATGAACCCCTAAGCCCACCCAGCGCAAACAGTCGCTCCGGACCCGAGTTAGGGAACTCGGTTCCTCATGCCTCGGTTCTAGAATTACAAAGGGTTTAGGGTTTAGGTTTAGGGTGTAGAGTTTAGGGTTTTAGAGTTTAGGGTTTAGGGTTTAGGGTTTAGAGTTTAGGGGATTGCCTAAGCCATGCATGCACAGCTGGCCTGGCTGCGCGTGCGGAGCCTGAAGGTCTGTGGCTCGATCGGTTGGTTCTTTAAGCCTTGTAGGGTTTTAAGGGCTTTTCTAGGGGCATAAGAAGGGCTTTCGGGGCCTAACGGTTAGGGGCCGGGCTCAGAGGGTAAAAGGGACCCTAAACCCGCCCGTGCTTCGAGCAAGAAGCCAGGTCTCAAGAAAGACCCACAGTCCTTCCACCCAAGCATCAACATCGCACCAACAGCCCGACGTAAATTCTTTATGGTGTTGTCGGTAGGGGCCCACCTTAAACCCGAAAACCTTCACCCTGTACTATAGGTGCCCTAATGATTAGAATAGTTTTTTTTTGTCGGGGGGGGGGGGGGGTATTCAAGCATATACATATATATCATTATACATCATATATATATATATATACAGGGGGATGAGGGAATGCTATTAGAATTTTTCCGGCCACTGTATTACACCAATAAGCCCTACACCCCTGATAGTCCCGGCCTTTGGCGCCACGGGCGCTTTCTTCACTGCAGGCGGCTGATTGGGCGGGTGCTGCGCCGAGCCTAGCCGGATCGCAGATACTGGGCTATGGACATGAAACTTAGGATTAGGGTTTAGGGTTTAGGGTTTAGGGTTGAGGGTTTGTTTAGATTTGTTTAGGGTTTAGGGTTTAGGGTTTAGGGTTCGGGGTTTAGGGTTTAGGGTTCAGGGCCTCGGATAGCAGTCGAGGATTCAGCGCTCAAGTGCTTCAGCGGACAAGGAGCTCCTTGTGATTTTGCCGAAACTCCGGCGACGAAAGCTTCAATCGAGTATGAGATCCATGTCATGAGAGGCCCTCTTGTTGCCAGAAGTCTCTCAGGGTTGTCCTAAACCCTAAACCCCGAAACCCTAAACCCTAACAGCGCGAGCAGGCTCTGCCGTGCCTTCGCTACGCCCGGCTTTGGGCGCGCGCTCCTCCACCATGGCCTGAACATTGGCCTGAGGGGTTTAGGGTTTAGGGTTTAGGGTTTATAGTTGAGGGTTGTTTCACTTGAAGGTTCACGAGTAGTCATATAAATTGGGTGTTTCCGAAATTAGGGGTACCGTATATTGGGGTCCTTATTATAAGGGAATCTTACCATTTGGGGGTCCATTTCAGGGGTCCCCTATTTTCGGAAACCCCCAAATCGAGTTGGACAGTTACAGGTCATGCAACCTATGCTATGATTAAGGCACATCGAATCTAGTTTTTCGCACTTTCAAGTTAGACCTCCATACGCTTCTGATGATGTTGTTCTACATTCGGAAATTTTGTGGAGGGTCCATGTGACAAGCTCTTCACTTAGCCCATAGAGTCTACTCAAAAGGGAGTCTCATTGGTTGCCCAGTAACCATATTAAAACAAGGGTACCAGATCAAAATAAGGGTACTTTTTTTGGGTTGGTTACTTTATCAGGCAACCTTGAACCAAAAAAAAGAGGCAACCAAGGGATCACTGGGCTACCAACGTTATTTCTTTTCGTGTTCTTGTGGTGCGATCGAAACAAAAAACTAGTTGATTTCTGATGAAATGAATTTCTGATGAAAACTGCGTCCGCACGCGTCATTAGCACAACCCGCAAAAAGGGACCCATATCATAGTATGGGTACCCTTTTTTGGGCTGCTCACTGTATTAGGGAAACTTGAACCCAAGAAAAGATCACTGGGCTACCCATTAGAACACCCCCCTATCGCCTCCTTGAGCTGGTCCAAGCGCAGGGGCCCAGGGCTCTCCGCCTTGCGCTTGATGCCCTTAGTGCAAGCAAGGCCCCTCAACACCCTAAACCCTAAACACCCTAAGCCCGAAAGACCCTAAACACTAAATCCTAAACCCCCTAAGCCCGAAAAACCCTAAAGACCCTAAATTGGCCCTCAAACGCCTGGGGCTCCCTGCCCCAACTTGCCCAGCCTCAGGTGCGGAAGTGCCGGGGCGGATTCAGGTGTTCTCGGAAAATCTTGGCGGGGCCTCAAGCGATTTCTGCATGTTTGGGTTTAGAGGTTAAGGGGTCCCTAAACCCTAAACCCTAAACCCTAAACCCTGAACCCTGAACCCTAAACCCTGAACCCTATGTCTGAGGGTTCCCTTGCCTAAACCAGAACCGTTAGCCCGCAGCTTGCTTGGCACCTGGCCGCTGGGCTTGGAGAGGCTTCGCCTGGGGCCTCACAAAGGCAAGAGAACGGGGCTTAGGAACCCTAAACCCTAAACCCTAAACCCTAAACCCTAAACCCTAAACCCTGAACCCTGAACCCTGAACCCTGAACCCTGAACCCTGAACCCTAAACCCTAAACCCTGAACCCTAACCCCTAAACCGTCAGGCCTGAGCTTCTTTAGGCTTCGGAGCTGGATGCAGCCTCATCTCAAAGACTCAGGCGCACTCCTACGTGGGTTTAGGGTTTAGGGTTTAGGGTTTAGGGTTTAGGGTGTTAGGGTGTTAGGGTGTTAGGGGTACCTTATTGGGGTCCTTGCTATAGGGGGATCCTACTGCTTGGGGGACTATATTCGGGGTCCCCTATTGTCGTCTGAAGAGGCTGTCCCTCGTCCTTGAGCGCAGCTTCCAACCCCCAACATATGAAACCCCAAAGGCCTCCTAAACCCTCAATGGGGAGGTGGGGGGCGCTTTGTGTGCCCCAGGGCCCTAGGGTCACCCTTCTTCGTCTTCTGCAACCCACGAAGTCCAAGCTGCGAAAGCCGGATTGGGGAAAAGATCAGGGCCCCCTTGTAACCCTACTGACTTGAAGATTCTTGGGCAATTAGAAGCCTATACGAAAGGTAACCTACATCATAACCTGAATAGAGGTGTCTCTAACCCTACTTTTGACTGCCCATGAACCTTCAAGGAATTCAGCAAAAACCGGCATTGGGCCACTCATAACCGATGCGGCAAGCATGCTCTCGGCAGATGGCTTCGTCTCTTGGGACTTTTCCTGGGCCCTCTCGACCTGAGCACGTGGTGGTTTCCGAAATTCGGGGTACCTTATTGGGGTTCTTGCTGTAAGGGAATCCTACCATTCTGTTTTTTTGTTGGGGGGGGGGTATTGTAGGGGCCGCTGGGGGACATGACCTTCTTCTCCACACTAAGCCTGGCCCTTTGAGCCTGCAAGTCACCCCGAGCATTGCAAGGAGAGTCTAAGAAGACTAGGATGGCCCTTGAAACCCTCTGAAAAATATTCCTGAACAAGATCCTCATCAGGGAAAATGTACAATATCCCACGGGCCTACCCTAAACCCTATACCCTAAACCCTAACCCCTAACCCCTAACCCCTAAACCCTAAACCCTAAACCCTAAACCCTAAACCCTAAACCCTAAACCCTAAACCCTGACCTAGAAGAGGAGGGCACCAAGCACCGGGCTTCTGGAATCAAGGCTTCAAGGGCCTGGCAGATGCAAGCTCCTTGATGCTCAAAAGCCCTTGGCATGTCATCTCAAGCACCATGCCAATGGGCGGCAAGACTCAACCCTAAACCCTAAACCCAAAACTCGAAACCCTAAACCCTAAACCCTAAACCGCTTTGCTCGACTGCCTTCCTGTACTCCATGGCAAGGTGTATGGCCAGGTCAGCGTGCTTCTGCACAGCCTTCAGATCCTGCACAGGGTTTGGGGTTTAGGGTTTAGGGATTAGAAGGGATCTAGGGCCGGGGGTGGGGAGGGGGACGCATCATCCCGGGTCGCAGCCAAGGACCTCCAACCCCTGTCAAAGAACCTTGAACGAAATACGCAAACCTGCAAGGTTAAAATGGCATAGGGAGCATGCGTATAAGTATAATCAGGGCCAAACCCTAAACCCCAAACCCCAGGGGAGCCTCAGGAGTCCGTTTTGCCACGTCCGCCTTCAGCTTCGTGATCTCCTCAACCAGCTTGCTCTTTTCGGCCTCCCAGGGCTTCAGGGTCAGGTTTGAGGGATTAGAGTTTAAGGTTTAGGGTTTAGGGGCGCTGGGCAAAGCGTTTTTTTTTTTTTTTTTTCCGGGGTTTCGGCTTAGGGGTTGCCAGAGCTTAGAGCTTTAGGGGTTTTGAGCTTAGAGGCTAAGGCTTTTTCGTGACAAGATCTTACAACAGCAAACCACAACAGCAGCAAGAAGAAAACGGGCACAAGCCAAGATAGCACACCCGAAAGCCACCACTGGCAGCTTGGGATTCTCAATTTAGAATACGGGCCCTGATATCTTGGGTACGCAGACAGGACACGAATTTAGAACAACGCCCCATATGCTGTGGCTAGACAGAATTGCAGCATAGCGCAGCATTCTCGGAGTTTGGAGCTTGGAGTCTGGTGCGCTTGGCGAATGCTCGCGCAAGTCAGTCTATTGGACATGAACCCGGCCATTGCAGGTAAGCATTGCCATGGGTAGGTTTGAAGCGCAACAGGTAAGGCGTCGGTCTGTGAAGCGAGGCAAACCAGGCCATCAACTACAATGAGGTTCGTGACATCTCCCCAAAGCAGGCTGAAGTAGCGAAGCCGCAACAGAGCCGGTGACTTGAAAATAACCCTTCACCCTGAACCCTAAACTCTCTAAACTCCCTACCCTCCCTAAACCCTAAACCCTGAACCCTAAACTCTCTAAACCCTAAAACATGCAGAGCCATGCCTTGGGAATCCGCTTTGACAGTTCAGCCTAAACCCTAAACCCCAAACCCGAAACCCGACACCCGAAACCCTAAACCCCAGGGGGCCTCGGGAATCCGCTTTGACAGTTCAGCCTTCAGCTTCGTGATCTCCTCCAGCAGCTTGGCTTTCTCGGCCTCCCAGAATCTTCAGTCAAGCCCAAACTGGGGGGGGGTTACCCCTGTCTAGGGCTTAGGGTTTAGGGTTTAGGGTTTAGGATCCCCAAATAGCCCCCCCCCCCCCCCCCCCCCCCCCCCTTCTGATAAGGACCCCAAGCAGGTGCCCCTGAAGATCGTAAACCCCCAACTCCTTTTTCCCTTTCTTAGTTGTCCAGTAACCCTGGGGAACTAAAGGCTAACCTTTGGAATTATAAGGGGATTATATTGCCCCAAAAAGGTAAAGAGTTACCTGCTCTGCTACTAGGCTCTTAACCTCAAGCTGTTGGTGTGCCGGAAGATACCCTAAACCTGAATAACCCTAAACCCTAACCCCTAAGGCTCGAGCTGCTGGTGTGCTGGAAGATACTTCGCAGGCACATTTTAGTTTCGGGGCTCTGCATTCTCATCGGAGCACGGCCCATCTTCACCCGACCCCCAGAAAGGCGTAGAGGTACCGCTAGCTTCTTCGCATGGAACTTCTTACAAGGATTCCTAGCCCCCTAAACCCTAAACCCTAAACCCTAAACCCTAAACCCTAAACCCTAAACCCTAAACCCTTAATTAACCCTAAACCCTAAACCGGTCAGAACACACCCCCCCAAGGTTCGTGCAGACATGCTGAGCTGGACCTCTGGAACCTGCTTCGCCGTCGAGGCTGCAGACTTCAGCTTCGAAATCTCCTCAGTCAACTTGGTCTTCTCGGCCTGGATTAGGGTTTAGGGTTTAGGGTTTAGGGTTTAGGGTTTAGGGTTTAGGGTTTAGGGTTTAGGGTTTAGGGTTTAGGATTTATGGTTCGGGTTTAGGGCGTGGGAGGTGCAAGCTGTCGTGGCGTCGCCAGCCACTCCCCTTATGAATCTCGGCTCCGTGACCCCTTAGCACATCGTAGCACCCCCTACTTCCCCAGGCTTCGATAGAAGCTCTGCCAGGTCTGACGGTATGAAGGTCTGAGTACTCATGGGAAGGGAGCAGGGTAACTGTAGCATTGCCTTCTTTGGGGCAATTACAACTCGAACTCCTCCTCCTCCTCCTCCTGAACCTCCAAGTAAGGCTCAGCAAGGGCTTCAACCCAATGAATGCCAAAGCCCTAAACCCCATACAGCCCCGACGTAAACCCCAAACCGTACTTGCTCAGGCCAGTCCTAAACCCCACAAAGCTCCCCAAAGCCCCTATCTCACAAACGAGGGCAGACTCGTCATTGACTCTGCGTTTCGTGGCAGGGATACTGTTGATGATACAAATCCTGCATCAGCAGTCAAGACAACCAAGTCACCTCCCAAGTCCTCATTTTCATATTGACGAAGTGCACAGCGAGATCAGCGCCGCGGACCAGCTACTTAGGTTAGAGCCGCCAGAATTCACGTGACTGTGATGTGTGCAATCTTGTCTGTTGTGGGAAGAATCTTGGGTTCATGTTCATCGCCAGCCTCCTATATCGTTGACGAAAACCGACGCTCCGAATTGCGGTGTCCAATATACGACCTGAAGACCCGCTTATCGCGGTTTGCGGCTTGGGCGAGCCTCCAGCAACTTGGCTTTCTCTGCCTCGCGGTGTTTGAACCACACGCGCTATGTGTTTTTTTGTCTAGCAGGACGTTCTGTAAACCAAGAGGCCCAGTCATATTGGGGCTCTGCATCCTCATTGAGTCGTGTAGACAGGCCCTGGACCCCGAAACCCAAGCACATACTTCACTACAAACTCCAAGACCCTAACATCCCAACCCATAAATTGATAAGCCTCTGCTCAATTAATACCCTGAACTTCAACACCGAAACGAGAAAAACCCTTAAACTACCAAAGCGCTCGACTTCACAACCTCAACTAAGGACTTGCACGGTGTTAACCCTAGGCAATGAACCCTCTAAACCCTCACCTGAATTACTTGAAGGTTCATGGGTAGTTATAAATGGGATTTTGCACATTTTTGTTTAAAAGGGCTTCTGACGGAATCAGGGCCTCCTCTGATTCCTAGCCCTAAACCCTAAACCCTAAACCCTAAACCCTAAACCCTAAACCCCAAGCCCTACTTATACTACCCATTTAACCTTTAAGTCAGGTACAGCCGACGGCCTCCGGAACTCGCTTTGCCATGTCCGACTTCAGCTTCACAATCTCCTCGTTCAGCTTGGTCTTGTCGGCCTTGAGCAGAAGACTCTGGTTTGGGGTGTAGGGTTTAGGGTTTAGGGTTTGGGGGTTAGGGTTTAGGGTTTAGGGTCTAGGGTCTAGGGTTCCTTCTTTGCACGATGATGTGCACGAGTGCGCGGTGCCTGTCACGATTCACTGTGTGTCATGGGCAGACGACTCTGTTAAAGGAGGTAGGTGCGGTTTCACGAAGAAGGACTGGCTCGACAGATGGAGATGGATCACTGAAGTCTGAGATTCACTCGCAAGCCCTACTTCGGAGTAGACCCCGGAAAAAAAGGTATCCCTAAACCCTAAACCCTAAACCCTAAACCCTAAACCCTAAACCCTACACCCTACACCCTAAACCCTAATTCCTAAACCCTACAATGGGAACCTAGAACCAAAAAAAGTATTGAAGTTTAGCACTCCAAAACCCAGCAAGCCGACTTGCGGGCTGCAGCTCGAGACCGCTGTGTGCTCTCTGCAAGTTGCGCGGGTTTAGGGTTTAGGGTTTAGGGTTTAGGGTTTAGGGTTTAGGGTTTAGGGTTTAGGGTTTAGGGTTTAGGGTCCTTGAACATATCTGCTATCGCGTGCGCAACATCTGCAAAACCAGAGGCACGGTCATAGGCCGAATGAGTATTGTTTGAACTGACATGTCAGAGTATGCCACTCGTTCTCGTGCCCTTGCTCCTTCTCACTGACCACCACTCGACACACGTAACCCAAAATCAACAGCCGCTTGAACCCCAAACCCTAAACCTTAGACCCTGAGCCCTAAACCCCAAACCCTCAACACGAAGCCCTAAACCCCAAACCCTAACCTGAATTCAGGTACAGCCCTCGGGAACTCGCTTTGCTTCGGCCTTTAGCTTCGCAATCTCCTCAGTCAACTTGGTCTTCTCAGCCTGCCCGGGTTCTTTAGATTATGGTTTGAGGTTTAGGGTTTAGGGTTTGGGATTGAGGATCCCTAAACCCTAAACCCGGCGTTTAGACCGCGCACCCCTAGACCCTGTCCAATCTAGCCGATAAGCGCCCACACCTAAACTTCCGAATGCGAATCCCCTCCCACAGGCTTTTTCAGCGTTTAGGGTTTGCATGGGGCTTAGGGTTCCTAAACCCTAAACCCTGAACCATGAACCCTAAACCCTAAACCCTATACCCCAAACCCTAAACCCTGAACCCTGAAGCTAAACCCGTTGAGGAGGGTTCCTGAGCCTGTGGGACGCTCCTTGCCGCATCCGACTTCAGCTTCGCATTTTCTTCCGCCAATTTTGCCTTCTCGCCCTGAACGCGCGCGAGATGGGACTCTAGGTGTTCCAAACTCCGGGTTTAGGGTTTAGGGTTTAGGGTTTAGGGTTTAGGGTTTAGGGTTTAGGGTTTAGGGTTTAGGGTTTAGGGTTTAGGGCTTCTCCTAAACCCCAAAACTGTGTTGTTCTGGCGGGTTCTCTCTAAACCCAAAAAGCTTCAAGGGGTTTGGACGGTTTGGAGGTTCCCCCTAGACCCTAAACTTCAGAGCTTTGGGGGTTCTAGGGTTTGGGAGATGTTGGGGGCGTGAGGGTATTGCTTACAGGTTTTGGGGCTGGTTTAGGGTTCACAGGCATTTGAGAAAGTTGCATAATTGGGCTTAGCTGAGCTGGTGAGCTTGACGTTCAGTGGGCATTGAGTGTCTCAGGCTGCGACATTCACCAAATCAAGGCGCTTTTGTCCCAGCCTCAGCTGAACAGGAATTTGGGGTCAATAAGGGAGACATATCTTGGAGACCCCATGCGTTATGGCTTCCTGGTATGTCTTGGAGTGCCAGCCAAGGAAGGTCCATGGCAACGCTTCAGTAAGCAACACGGCTATCTCTCTGCTGTATTGCCCTGTCGTTACGGTCGGCAATACAGGACAGGGGTTGGATGAAGTTTGGCAAAACCCGTTGATAGAACCCAGCGGGGGCTCTTTCTAGCAGCATAGCCTGCGAACGAGTGTCTCACTTCCCCTAAACCCTAAACCCTACAGCCTAAACCCTAAACCCTAAACCCGAAACCCTAAAGGCGAGGACCATGCAATGTTCCGCGAATGACCAGCGAAGGACCGGTGGCTACGCTCTAACAGTGCTTTGGGGGCGGTAGGGTTAAGATGAAGCACCACAAACTGCCTCAAGGGTTTAGGGTTTGGGGCTTAGGGTTTATGGTTGAGACCGGGGAGCTTTCCAAGGACTTCTTGCAAAATGTCCATAAAAAAAGCCAAACACCTGCACCCCTAAACCCTAAAACGCCTGAAGCTGTAAGAACCTAAAACCCAAACACGCCGAACACCTGAAACCCTAAACGCTAAAATGCTTAAAGCTCTGAAAGCCTAAAACCTAAACACGCTGAACACCTGAAACCCTAAACCCAAAACTGCCTTTAGCCCTTCAGCCTAACATGCTCAAAGGACCTAACACCGCCGAACACGCAAAACCTAAGCGCCCCAAACGCATAGACTCCTAAAAGCCCAAACGCCTAATCTAGGGGTCGGAATAATTACTAATAGTCTTCCCTTATGCTCCCTATACAAATAGACTATAGTAGCCCCCTAACACCCAATTCTTTTTGTTAAGGCCCCTGTATTATCCTAAAACCCAACAGGTCGCTTCGGGGCTCAGGCTTCTTCAGGTCTTCATTGGCTTTCAGCCGCTTCTCCTTGAGGCCCCGGTGTTTAGGGTTTAGGGTTTGTTTTGGGTAGGGTAGATAGTCCATGGACTGGGGTTTAGGTCTGGGGGTTTTTAAGGTTTGTTCAGGAGTTAGGGCTCAACATCACCGCCGGCGCATCTTAGAGCAACGGAAGAGGCGACCAAAAGACAGTCTAGAACACGCCACACAAACCAAGAGGAATGAGACGTTTGTTGCATATGATCTCGGTTACACTCGTTGCCATCTACCCGCCAAGGTGCTGAGATCCAGTGAGTAGCTTTGTTTCATGGCTCCAAAGAAACGCTATCTCGTCAGAACGGCGAAGCCTCGATCACTGCGACTGAAAGTGAATCCACCATTCGTCGTCGCGCCGTCAGCACTGGTTGGCTTGATCCCAGGAGCTGTTAGTCCATCCACACAAATCGCCACGAACATGATTGGCGTCCATCAACTGGAAGGCGTCCAGGCTGTCATGAACAGGGATGGCATTGACGTCATTGTCAATGCTCATCTCGGGAAAGTCCGTGGACCTCATGACCGCCCACATGTAACCTCCCCATCTGCTCCGATCCACGTCCCAGTCACAGTCGTGATTGATGCGGAACCCATCGCGCTCCGCACGACCTTGAATCTTCGCACATCAGCGATGACATGTGGCCTTCCCCGGGTCTCGCCGCGTTTCATTGCCTGAAGGCATGCCGAGGCAGGGCGCGAGCCAGCGGCCGCAGGGCGACTCACACCGGGCTCGTTGACCTAAACCCTAAACCCTAAACCCTAAACCCTAAACCCTAAACCCTAAACCCTCTCGTCAGAGAAACGGGGTTGGATGCCATCGGCAGCCTGTCACGCCGGACGGCGCGCCGGCTCCGGCAATATGGGGGGGTGTCCGAAATTCGGGGGTACCTTTGTTGGAGTCCCTATTAGAAGGGAACCCTACTAGTTGGGGGACTCTATACATACATATATATACACACATATATATATATATACATATATATATATATAACTATCTAGGGGTACCTTTTTGGAAGGGAATTCTACTAGTTGGGGGGGGGGGGACTATACTAGGGGCCCCCTTATTGTCGCAAACTCCCATATGGGCATTTCCCAAAATAGCGGTACCCCTTCTGTACCCCCAAATAGAATAGACTCCCCTTAAAGGGACCCCCAGAAAGGGTACCCCTAGTTTTGGAAGCTCCCATATTGGAAGAAACCCTAAACCCAAAACCCAAAACCCTAAACCCTAACCCCTCACCAAGTCTGCGTTCCTACGCATCCCGAGGTCTCCGGCCTGATCCTTGTTCACATTTTCGAGGTCATCCCTGGCCTGTGTGCGGTTTAGGGTTTAGGGTTTAGGGTGTAGGGTTTAGGGTTTAGGGTTTAGGGTTTAGGGTTTAGGGTTTAGGGTTTAGGGTTTAGGGTTTAGGGTGCAATAGTTTGTCAAGTCATATAAGCTTCCAAACGTAAATGAGAATGTGAATGAAATTAAATACACCTACACACATCCATAAAACTGCGTACCTACCTATACCCTCCCCCGCCCCAACAGGGAATACAGGCCTACTCTGGGTCCTGGCAATACACTGGGCTTAGGGGTTTAGAGGCCTTTTTAACAGCTTTAAGGTTTGGGGCTTTTAAATTGGGGGTTCAGGGGGCTTACTGTCCGGGTTCGGGATTTGACGGTAATGGAAAGATACTCGTATATCTTGACCAGCTGTAGGGCCAGATGTACCTTAAGGCTACAAGCACAGTCATGCAGTCACCCTACTTGTAACTGTAACGGTGCAACCCTAAACGGGTGTTAGGTTGCTTTTCGTTACCCTGAATCCCCTACATATTATCCTTCTAAAGCCAGAAAAACTTGAATTTTACAGGGCCCCCAAACCTACCCAAGTAGATCCGACAGCCTAAACCCTAAACCCTAAACCCTCAACCCGAAACCCTAAACCCGAAAACTGAAACCCTAAATCCTAAACCCGAAACCCTAAACCCTAAACCCTAAATCCTAAACCCTAAACCCGAAACCCTTGCTTCGTGATCACTTCGGCCGCACCTTGGCCAAGGCCTGCGCTTTGGCGCGCTCCTCCTCCAGCTTCGCCTCCCAGACCGGGAGACCCCACCCCGAGTGGGGTTTAGGGTTTAGGGTTTAGGGTTTTGGGTTTGAGGTTTAGGGTTTGGGGTTTGGGGTTTGGGGTTTGGGGTTTGGGGTTTAGGGTTTAGGGGAGGAGAGCTGTATCGAGAAACTGCCCAAGGTTCCCTCACTACAATCGCTTGCCGTGGGCAGCTTTCTTCGCAAGGCGCTGCATGATACTGGTTTAATAATAATCTGCTTATTGTTAGAAAAAAAAAATATATATATATATATATATATGAACTATATCTATAGATATAATGCTATATATATATATATATATTACATTGTCCATTACGTTTATATTATATATATATATAGATAGAACCATGTAGAGCCTCAAGCTGGGCGGACTTCTTGTTGAGCTCAGACTGCTCTGCTGCCTTGAATAGGCTTAAGATGGATTGTGCCGTTTAGGAGTTTAGGAGTTTAGGAGTTTAGGAGTTTAGGAGTTTAGGAGTTTAGGGTGCCCTAAACTCCCCAAGCCCTTGCATGGATTGCTTAGGCTCGAATGCCAGAAAACAGACTGGAGATTCGGGCAGCGGTGTACTGTCCTCCTACTCATTCCTGCACTGGCTTGGCTGTGTAAGTCCCGGTCGGCTTCTTGCGCTTGACGGTCCTGCCGGTCTGCGTCACAAACAGGGGAAGCAAACAAACCAGGGCTTTGCCCAGAACGCATGATGAACAGCGGGCTTTGCGGACGACATAAATAAATAAATCTATATATACACACACATATATAAATAAAATACACATACACATATACATATACATAAATATATATATATATGTATACATATGTATATGAAATACTGGTTGCACTTTGCCACCCCATGGTGGGCCTTCTCCTTGACCTCCTTCTCCAGCTCCTCATGTGCCTCCAGGAGCTTGCGCATTTACAAGGCAGGGACTGGATTTAGGGTTTAGGGTTTAGGGTTTAGGGTTTAGGGTTTAGGGTGGAGTTGAGGATTCAAGGTCCAAGCATGTTCGAGGCTGCTCCTATCCCGAAGCACTTTTAAAACAACACGACATGTGCGCAAAGAATGTGCCTTGGTCAGGGCCTCGTTCTTGCTGCACTGATCGTTTAGCATCGTTCTTTCCGCCTCCAACTCTGCCTGCCATGAGGATCGGAGCGTTTTCTGGGCGGCTCTCTTCTTCGTTCTGCTTCAAGGTCCTTTGCAGGAGCCCAAGTACCACAAGACAACGCTCTACGAACACACTGGAAGCTTCTTTCAGGCTCACCACTGGTGGCGCCGGGGTTCATTGATAGAGACGCTTCCGTATACTGGGACACCAGGGGCTACTTGGAGGTTCAGGGTACTTACTAACTAATTATAACTGTACTTCTAGCCCACTTCTAAGCCCCTTAAATGTCCGAATATTGTGACGTTCTGATTGGTTAACAAGTACCATGAACCTTCAAGTAAACCCTAAACCCTAAACCCTAAACTCTAAACCCTAAACCCTGCATTCAGCGCTGCCTCGAGGCCCGAGATCTTCTCCTTGAGCTCAGCTTCCTGCGCCTTAAGGAAAGCAGTGGAACCAGAATTGGGGTTTGGGGTTTGGGGTTTAGGGTTTAGGGTTTAGGGCTCAGGGTGCTCCCTAAGCCAGGCCCCTACACAGTCAGCAGCCGGCGATGAGAACGTGAGAGCCCGGCAGTCCACTTGTCGACATCCTCCTGCTTGACCTTGCAGGCCTTGTATATACATATATATATAGATATATTCAGTACAATACAATAAAAAAAGTACAAATATACAAAAACATTCTATTATAGTTGTTGAATTACATAATATTAGATATGCATATTATGTAATAAATAAAAATAACATAGAACATAAGACAACATAATGCAACATCACAAAAGAAAAAACAAAGTATAGCATAACATAGCAGCATACAGCATAGTATAACATGATAAGACTCGATATTATGCAAGATCCACAGCAATTGGACAATAGATGACTCATGGGCAACATGTCACCAACACTGCTGCCGTAAGCTTCGAAACGCACTGCTGAGCCCGCAGCATCGTACAGGGATTTCCATTCCTCTGCTTTGCTCTTGTGAAAGTTCCGGTCTGCTTCCAGTTCAGCATTTCCTTCGCGGCGCGCGCAGCACGTGGCACGGCAAACGCGAAAGCCAGTGTGCAGCAACGCATCTTGCAGCAGTAGCTGCATTCCACCTCTACCAGGTCCAGTAAGGGTTTAGACCCTGAACCCTCTACATCCCAAAGCTGCAAAGGCCCTAATTAAACTGAATCCCAAAACTCCCTCGGCCTGGACTCTTCACCTCTAAATTTAAAGGGCTTAGGGTTTAAGATTTAGGGTTTAGGGTTCAGGGTAGGGCTTAGGGTTGAGGATTTAGGGTTTAGGGTTCAGGGTTAGGCTTGAAGCAAAGCGTCGCTGCTTCGTCTGCTCGAGGAGCTCATCTTGCAGCGGCGCGATTTGCCTTCATACTTGAAGGTTCATGGATGGATATAAGTAGGGCTATTGGCTTAGGGAGTTTAGGGAGGTTAGGGGTTTAGGGTTTCGGGTTTAGGGTTTAGGGTTTAGGAGGAAGGCAATCTACAGCTTCATCTTAATTGCGGTACTTATACTTATAACTACTGGTGGAACCTTGAAGTAGGGTTTGGGGTTTAAGATGTGTAGGATTGTGTTGGGTTGATGGGGCTTACAATGGTTTACAGGATGTTTTGGGTATGTAGGAGCTCTTGTTTGGTTTACCTGGTTTATAGATTTTGGGGTTGATAGGGCGCATAGGGTTTGTAGGATTTGGGGTGGGGCTGGTTTTGGGAAAGTAAAAGGGTTTGTAGGGATTATGCGGTTACAAGGGGTTTGTAGGGTTTGGGGCCTAGGGTTTAAGTTTGGGGTTTAGGGTTGAGGCGGCTGGCCACCTGCTTCTGGGGTTTGCGGTTCATGTAGGGTTAAGAGTTCGGAGTTTAGCGTTCAGAGGTATCGGATGTTCTGGACACTTTTTTGGTAAGGGGCTTGGGGGTTTGATGAACAGGTAGAAGACATCTGGGATTTGGAATCTGGGAACGGGCTTGCAGCCGCCTTGCGGATTTGCAGTATTCGACTGCTCTATGAGACGAATAGTGACGGGGGGTGATATGTCTTATACCCTAACCCCTGAACCCTGAACCCTGAACCCTATACCCTAAAGCCAGTCTGAAGTATCCTGCAGTCTCCAATTTCAGGCGCGTCACTTGTGGGCGTCGATGGCATTCAGCTTGTCCTGGTTTGAGGGTTTACATAGGGTTTCGGGTTCCCGGTGTACATATGGTTCAGGATTCATGGCTTAGGGCGCGCTGCTGTGTCTCAGGATGGCTGGCTCAGGGTTCAGGATTCATAGGGCTTAGGTTTCAGGGTTGAGAGTTCAGGGGTTTAGGGTTTAGGGGTTCGGGGGTTTGTGTTGAGGGCTGTAGGGTTTGGGGGTTTGGGTCTTTAGGGTTTCGGTTCAGGGGTTTAGGGCTGCTGGTTCAGGGTTTACTGCCTAGTTTTCAGCAGAGAATGACGGTACCCTGTTCCCCATATAGATATAGAAGGGAATTGTCTTGCTAAGAACCTAACCCTAGACCCTCAGCCCTAACCCCTGAGCCCTAAACCCTTAAACCCTAAACCCTAAACCCTACCGTAATTCCCAGCGTAGAACCAGTACAATTCGAGTTGATGGTGCGCTTCTGCAACGAATGCCTCGCGATTGTGGGCACGCATTTTCATGTGAGGAGCCATAGAAGAAACAGGAATCCCCTAACATTGTTTAGGGTTCGGGGTTTAGGGGTTTAGGGTTTGGGCTTTAGGGTTTGCCCCCCCCAACTTTGAATTTCCCGAACCCCTGTATCGGTAGAACCATCGAGCGGACGGAACCCTCCATCCTTCGTAACTTGGAGGATGGAGACAACCACGCAGGCACGAAGTAGAGTTCCAAGCGCCCGGAAAAGCCGCCCTTCGTTGGGGACTCTCCTACTCAAACAAACCTTACTTCATAACTACCTTCCAGTCCCTAAACTCCCAAAAGTCCTAGACCTTACGACGTCCCCCGATGCTCCACCCTAAACCCTAAACCCTAAACCCTAAACCGGCTGCTGCCAGCCCCGGTGGTCCTTCAGGGTCCGGCTCTCTCCCTCGAGGCGTCGATTCTCACCCTCGATGAACTCGATCTGGAGAATCCGCGCACGAGACCTGGGACTGGGACAGGGGTTATACGGGGTTTTATTGGGGGTTTATTGGGGGTTTATATAGGGGTTCATAGGGTTTAAAGGGGTTTATTGGGGGATATATCGGGGTTTTATAGGGTCTTTATAGGGGGTTCATAGGGTTTAAAGGGGTCTGTGAGGGGCTTGATAGAGGGTTTAGTAGGGGACCACCTGGAAACACTTGGGGAGTAGGGTGCTAGCACCATTAAGCACATGCTAGTTCCAACATCTTCCCTGCAGATTTAAAAAACCGAAATCAAGACATGGGCATTTCTCAACACAGGGTACCACCTACCCCCGCTAAACTACTCTAAACCCTAAACCCTAAGCCTTCCAAACCTTAGAGTCCAAGACACCTCCCTCCAACTTATCCCCCAAACATGTAGGAGAAGAGGAAGTCCTTCCGGTTCTCTAGATATGGTTATCTGGGTTTATGGTTTAGGGCATCGTCCCTTCTGAGGTTTATACCCTGAAGAAAAATTGTCCATATTGCAACAGCCTACCCTCGCCCTCCGTAAACTAAAAGGCTCCAATTTAGGGAGCAGGCCAGTGCTGTAAGCAAGAACCGCTTGCCCTTGAGAAGGCGGCGCACGGAGGAGGTTCTGTGGCGGCCACACGAACCCCAGAACAAACTGCGATTTCAGGTGAGGTTTAGGGTCAAGGGTTTAGAGTTAAGGGCTTAGGGCTTAGGGCTTTGGGGAGTTTCGGGCTCAGGGTCACCCCGAAGAGGGATCACGTGCAACCGAAGGCTCTGCACACACGTGGGCGTTTCTTTAAGAACAAACCTGCATCTTACAATCTTAAATGGTACGCCCTAAACCCTAAACCCTAAACCCTAAACCCTAAACCCGAAACCCTAAACCCGAAACCCTAAGCCCGTCAGCGAGGGAACTTTCCAAGGAACCGGCTGGCTGAAGCGCTCCTTCAGCTCACTCAGCTCGGTCGCAGTCTGCTTCGAGGCGACCTGCTGTCAAGCGTCACACGAGAGCCAGGAGTAGGTTTAGGCTTTAGGCTTTAGGCTTTAGGCTTTAGGCTTTAGGCTTTAGGCTTTAGGCTTTAGGCTTTAGGCTTTAGGCTTTAGGCTTTAGGCTTTAGGGTTTAGGGTTTAGGGTTTAAGGGCTAAGGGTTTCAGGGTTGAGGGTTTAGGGTTGGGGTTTGAGGTTTAGGGGAGACATTGCCCTCTTGGAAATTGCCCCAAACCCTAAACCCTAAACCCTGAAACCGAGATTGAATTGAACCCCCCCCCCCCCC